TTTGGGGTGAAACGTGGCTTTTTCTGTTGCTGAGGAAATACATTATTTTCCCCAGAGATTCCTCTCGCTTTTTAAAGAGGAGGAGAAGGGGTGGCAGTTTGGCTTCAGCCTCCTGTAGCCTCTCTGCTCCATCCCTCATTCCTTCCCCAACTCTTCCAACGAGGAGCCGGAATTGGTGTTTTCTCCACCCAAAGGACAATTTTTGTTATTAGTTTTTGACTTCCGAACTTTGCTGGGTCTCAGCTGCTGCCGCAAGAAGTTTTCCAGCAACTCCAAGAAACTCATGCAGCTGGGAGAGGAACAGGGAGGGTGGTGGGAGCCAGAAACCTCTGTTTGGATAAAGAGGAGAGGTGGGAAAGCTGCCCACGAGCTGCAGCAGGATCCTGAGCTCTGCAGGGCTCATGCAGGGCTCCAGCATCCCCAAAACCCGGGGTGCCAACACCCCAAACACCAAAGCAGTGCTGTTCCCCACACAGCATTCCCAAAAAGGGCTGGGAATGAGTGTTTTTCAGGAAATAAGGAGAAGGGGGGTGTGGGAAACCCTCTCTGCGCTACATTTGCGTTTATTTGAGTTAGATTTTTAAGTCCTTGTCCCATGCTCTGAGTCTCTCAGATTCCCAGTGAAAGCTATAGACAAAACAGAGAGAAATGTAAAATATCATCACTTAAATCTCCTAACTAAGGATTTTTGTGATGTGGCCCAAAGCCCAGCCCAGTAATCCCAGCAAAACAGCTTCCCCTCATGTCCTATCCTCTCCCCAGACAGCGTGGGAGAGAACCAGGCTCTGCACAAGCAGGAGAGGCAGCAGCTCCCAACCCTTCTTCCTTTGGGAATTAAAAATAGTGGGTTTATTCCTTTGCTTTGTAATGGGAAGGCAGGAGACCCCAACAGAGCCTCACCCTGTGTGGCTGAATCCGTGCCTCAATTTCCCCATCAGAAAAATGCGGCTTGTATATGGCTGAGGGTGGGAGGGCCTGGCTCCTGCTTTGGGAGGAGGTGAGAAGGAGGAAGCTGGGATTGTGCCATCACCTTATCTGCAGTTATTCCTGGAATCTGATTGCCTGCTATATATAATGGAAGCTGATTAAATACCACTGTGCGATAACACCGGGCACATCCCAGGAGGATAGAGGTGGCTGTGCTGGGGTGACTTGATCCCATTAACCTCTCCCTCTGCAATTCCCAACCACTAACTCCACCTTTCTTTTCCTTTGTCCTTTCAGTAACTTCATCTTTCCTCAAGCCAAGCCCTCCTGGATCGCTGCACAGGGAACGAAAAACAAGCGTATAAAATTATAAAGCTATAAGCCCTGTTATTCCACTCCCTTAGTAAATAACTTTGCTGGGGAAGATTATTCCTTCCAAGCTCTCCCTGACAACATTTGGCTTGGCAAAGTGGCCCAACCCTTGACGTTTTTGTTAGACCTTGTTCTTTCATCACAGCATCTTGAGATTGTAGGTTTTTCTTCTTTTTGGTGTCCAGGCTTAAGTCAGCAGTGGCTGTTCCCTCTACTTCAATCAAATACAGCCACATTGTTTTTTTTTTTAATCTTAGAAAGTTGGATTGAGCCAAGGAGCGGCAGCTTGAGCTGCTCTTCCTGGGGGAGATGGGATGGCTCAGAGAAACTCATAGTGTGCTGCAGCTATTTTAGCTCCTTTGCTCCTGCTCCAGCCCAGCTCTGGCTGGAAAGATGATGGCTTGACTTTTGGGTGATGGAACCACACTTTTTCATCTCATAAATCATAGAATCATGGAATGGTTTGGTTTGGAAGGGATCTTAAAGGCCAACTTGTTCTACCCCCTGCCATGGACAGGGACACCTTCCAGTAGCCCAGGTTGCTCCAAGTGCTGCCTGACCTGGCCTTGAACACTTCCAGGGATGGGGCAGCCACAACTACCCATGTGCCAGCTGCTTCTCCAGGGTGGGTTTCAGAGGATGTAGGCAACTGTTTTGGTAGCTGGGTGGGAGCTGGGAGGCTCCAGGGGTGAGACTGGGCCAGTGATGAGGGTGTTGGCCTGCGGAAAGGGTGATGCTTTGGCTTCATGCTGGTGTCCATCTCCCAGAAACACCTAAGAGATGGCTCTGCATGTTGGTCCTCAGTTCTGTCCCTTACCCTCAGTTCTCTCCGAATGTGGCTGCAGTGTAGCTCCTGCTCTCAGGGTCTTGCAAGGTCTGTTCACCGGGTCTTCTCCTTCCCAGGGCCACTGTCCCATGGAGAGAGGGTCACTCCACACTGGATCCTCAGGGGCCGCACCAGACGAGCTGTCAGCCTGGATGAACAGGTAAGGGCAGAGCTGGTTCCTCTTCTCCTCCCTCTCTTCCTCTACCTGGAGGTCTTCATGGTGAGATTTGGATGGAGATGTTGAGCTTGCAGGACCCATGAGCAGGATGTGAAGTTTGCAGGACTCATCACCGTATTCAGGTGATGAGCAGGGAAAGCAGAGGATGTAACAGTGAGTTACTTAAACATGCTGTTAACTACCAGGCAGGAGTAAAGTTGGCTAAGGACTGTAGGATGAGTGGAAAGGAACTGGAGAGCATGGAGAGAGGAAATGGAGGTGATTTGTCGGAGTGATGGTTTGACCAGGATAGATGGACCAGCAGCATTAGCTAAAGGGAAGATACTGCAGAATTTAAGAGCAATGCCCTTGGGAAGACTTCATAGAAGCCTGAGGGGAGGAGAGGACATCTCTTCCCAGGGCTGCTCTGCTGGCTGTCACACCTTCCCTGCCATCCCCACTGTCTCCAAATCCACTTTATGAGATGCTTGTGGTCACTCTTGCCTGGGTTTGGCCTCTTGCCTGGCGCTGGGGTCAGCCAGCTCTGCAGCTGCCCCTCAGACACAGCAGCTGGTCATTGTACCCAGCAGCTGAGAGGTTCTGGGGGCTGTGGTTTCCTTTGGGGTGGATCAAATCCCTTCCCAGCTCAGGAACCAATGTGGATGGTTGTGGGGTAGTGTGTTTTGGGGCTGAGCAGATTCACTGCTGAGAAGTCTCGGTGCTGGGAGTTGACCTTCACTGCTGGCATCTCCCTGGGGCAGTGGCTGAGGATGTAGCTCTGAAGCCACCTGAGACGCCTCCAAGTGAGACCTCTTTGCTCCAGGCAGGAGATGCCAAAGGCAGAGTCAGCTATACTTTGGAGAGGAGCTTAGTGCTGCCCTGCCTATCTCTTCTGAGGGGCTGGATGATGCCTTTTCCCAGGGGAATCAGTGCTGGCTGCTTCTCTGGTAGCTGAAATAGCCCATGTGGGTGCTGTGGTCAGCCTGCAGAAATGTGTCTCTTCCCTGCCTGGCAGCCACAGATCCATCTATATTTAAGTTGGAAGGCACTGGATATGGGGAACATGTGGCAGCAGGAGGTTTATTTATCCTCTCACCAACACCCCTCTGCCCAAACTGGTGCTGGGTGGGTGCAAATCACAGGCATGTGATTTTGGGGAGTTTGGGAGCCTCCTGGGGGACTCCAGGACTGGGGTGGCTGAGCAGGTCCTGGCGTATTTCCTGGCATCTGCTCTGCCTCCAGCTCCAGCCAGCCTGAAACAAGGAGGCTCCTGTTCCTGGAGCAGGGGGAAGGAGGGGAGAGGGAGGGTGGTCGCAGCCAGGAGCAGGAAAGCTTCGTGGGGGAAGGACGGGCAACCAGACAAAGGATGGGACAGAGTCCCAAATTGTCCCTTTTTGTCCTGGTGCTGCTGACATGCATATTTTTAGGATCAATTTAGTCCATTCCATCCCCACCCTGTCTGCTCCTGCCCTCCAGCAAAGATGCTGAAAATAAATACAGCCATGGGAATGCTGCCAGCCTGCTCTGTGTCCAGGCATGGCTGGAGTCTGCGAGGAGACAACATCCAAGCCCATGAAATGATGGCTTCAAGCGTGGTGACCCCTGAGGCTCCTTCATCCCTTCCCTGGGGGCTGCTCCTAGTGCAGCAGGTGGGATGCTGTGGGGTGGCCCATGCCATGGTCCCAGGGGACATCACAGTGTCTCCTTCCCCTCTTCCCAGAGGAGTGAGATTGAACCAGCAGGAAGAGGAGGAGGATGGTGGTGGCCCTGCGGTCCCATCGTGTGCGGGCTGGCACAGCACTGGGTGGGCTGGACCCTGCCTCCTCCCCTACACCCTCCTCTCTCCTATTGTTCAGGGCTGAACTCCCTGCAGGCTCCACAGCTCCTGGCGCACATGGAAGTGATTTTGGAGAGGCCAGGCAGGAGGTCATGGGGACCCTGATTGCAAACAGCTCCCTTGTCGCTGCTGGGGTGGGGTGGGATGAGATCCTGCCTGGCTGCTGCCGGCATTGTCATCCTCATTCTCCTGCCCCTGGGCTTGGGATGTGGAGCAAAGGCTGCCAGAGCTCATCGTGGGCTTTTCCAGTCCTCCACACCTGGCAATGGAGGTGTGCCCAGCATCCTGACCTGGATGTCCCACCAGTACCCAGCCCTGAGGCATGGGAGTCCCCTGTCTCCACCTGGGGACTCACCTGGCCTTTCATGCTGCCTGTGGTATTCCCTGCCTCATTTCTTTACGTTTGGAATTGCTTTTTCCCAAGCAGGATTTCTTACTGCAGTGGTTTTAAACTGCCAGAGTGCAGGGTTAGATGGGGTATTGGGAAAGAATTCTTCCCTGTGAGGGTGGTGAGGCACTGGCACAGGTTGCCCGAAGAAACTGTGGCTGCTCCATCCCTGGGAGTGTTCCAGGCCAGGTTGGATGGGGCTTGGAGCAACATGGTCTAGTGGAAAGTGTCCTTGGTCTTTAATGTCCCTTCCAACCCAAACCATTCCAGGATTCCAGAAATCCTGAGGGCTGAGAAGTGTCCAGGCAGAAGATCCCCTCAACTTCCCTCCGGGTCTCCCCTGGTACCCCATCCCTGTACAGGAATCCATCCTGGCACTGGTGGAGTATCCTTCCACCCATCCCTTTCCCTTAGCTATGGGCTCATCCCCTGGGCCCCTGGAGCAGCCAGTGTTTCCTTGTCCTGGAAGTGGAACATGACCATCTCCTTCATCCTTGCTGATGAACTTGGATGCAAACTTGGAGCATGCCCCTGGTCAGGGTCAGGGTAGGATACTCTGTGCCTCAGGCCCCTCCCTGGGGAGCACTGCATACACATGATAGGGTCATGGCTGTGCTCCAGAGGAGGAAGGGAGGGTAGGAGAGGACTGCCCATGGTTTGGGGTGTGCTACAGGTGCCAAGGACACATGCTCCTGCCATCTGTTTCCTGCAGGGAAACCCTTTTCCCCTTGTGAGGTGTGTCAGGACTGAGCAAACACTGATGTAGTCCCTGAGCCATGTTAGCTTTGAAACAACCCTAATCCTGCCTCTGTCTCCAGGGCCTGGTTTGCCCTGCTTCTCTGATGCCCTAGGATGCTTTTCCAGTGAGCAGCCAAAGTGAGAGGCTTGTCCTTGAGGTCTTGGATCCCAGTCCTGGTATGTGTTTAGGACAAGGTGATGCAATCCCCAAACTGTGTTCCTCAAATCCTCACTGTGCTGCTGGGATCCAACTGCCTGGGGAGGACCTGGCTCAGCTGTGCTGCTCCAGCTGCAAAACCCATCACCAAATCCTCTATGGAGCATCTCCTGGTAACTCTGATCCCTGTCTTCCTTGTCACATCCGGGCTTGCATGTGCTTACTTAGGAGATCAGGGCTTATGGGACCTGCCTGAGCAGCTGGCTGGGATGGGATTTGAATGTGGCTTTTGGATTTTGGCTTAAGTCGTGATTCCCCAGGGAGCTTGGTGCTCCCTGAGCCCACTCCTGGCCGAGCTGCTATCCTGTGGAGCTCCCCAGCAAGGCTGGACGAGGGAGCCTGGGCAAGGAGGATGGCTGGATCCAAGGGGAAACAAAGAAGAGCTACTTGAATGCCTTGGCCTCAGCTCCTCTGCAAACACTGCTGTGGTTTTGTGATCAACAGAGTGAAGAAGAAAGCCAGACTTCAACTGGGCCCAGTGGGTCTCTGGGCCACTTGCGGCCTGGAGCCTGGCCAGGGCAGAGTCATTCCAGCTGCTCTTCCAGTCTCTCCCAACCCCGCCCCTGCTGGGACTGCCTTTGCTAGGATGTCCTGGAGAGGGGCCACCACCTTCCACATCCAGCCAGGGCTGAGAGAAGGAAGTTCATGTGGCATGGGGCTTTTTTTCATGGCTGAAGGAGAAAGGAGGTTGGGAAGGAAGAAGCTGAAGCCTGGGAAGTTGTTGGAGCTCAGAATTACACTGGGACCTGTGAAGATTGTTGCAGCTCAGGAGGATGCTGGAGCTTGGGATGATGCTGGAGCCTGGGGTGATAGTGGAGCCCAGGGCGATATTGGAACTTGGGACATTGCTGGAGCCCAGGATGATGTACTTGGATGTACTGGAACTTGGGATGTACTGGAACTCAGGACAATGCTGAAGCCTGGGATTATATTGGAGGCTGGCATGATGCTGGAGCCCAGGAAGATCCTGATCTCTGCTCATTCCTGGTGCACAGCAGCTTGGCAGGCAGCTCCTGGGGACTCAACTGTCTGCCATGCTCAAGGCAAAATGATCACTGTTTAATTAATTAATGCAATCACCTTTCATGGCCTGAGAGGTGGGTTGTTTGAGTCCTGCCTGGCACACTTGCTGCTCACGTTCCCCTTCTCCCTCTTTTTACGCCTGTTGATCCAGAGGCTGAGCTGGGCCCATCCCAGCTGGAACCAGGATCCATCCCCTGCTCCTCACTGCCTCTCCATGAGCTCTCATGGGAAACTGAGGCACAGGAATGGGGAGAGCTTGTGGTGCATTACCTCACAGGGGTGGGACACAGATACTACCAGCAGCAGTTTGTTTTCCAGCCTTTGGCAGCTTGGGAGCTGGGACAGGGAGCTGTGAATGCCGGGATAACCCTGGACACACACACATGTCCCTTTAAGACAGCAGCTGGGAAAGAGCATTTTGCCAGTAAAGGCCCTTGAGTGGAGGCAGGGAGTAATTGCTGGGGAATTCAAAACCGGGAAGGAGCCGGCAGGGACTTGGGGAGGAGGAGGAGGAGCGGCCGTGGGGAGCGGGCGTTAGGGAGATCAGAGACTGGGAGAAAAAAGGGAGGGCAAGAGGGGTGGAAAGAAGGGAAACGGCAAGAAAAATGTACAGACCATGTTTGGCCAGGGAGTGATGTTTGTATAAGATCATGTTCCAAAAATACAGCCCGTTCCCACCAGCGCCGGAGGAGGGGAGCCCTGTGCCCCAGCCTCCTCCTCCGGCACCGCACGGGGCCCCTGGCCAGGAATGGGACACTGTGGCCATGCCATGGCCATGGCTGTGCCGAAAGGGCTTGCTGGGAAGTGTCAAAGTCTTGGACTTGTCATGCTTTACTATTGGCTCTGTTTTTTTCAAAGCACTGTGTCTGCTCTCCTTTTTTGGAGCTGGGAAGACGGTGTTGGAGGCGAAGGGGGGGCTCAGCCAGCCTGACTCCATCACCATATCCCCAGCCGTGGTGACAAGCACCTCCCTGTCCTCTGGAATTGGGGCCATAAGGACTCACCCCCATGGATCTCCTTGGGACCAGAAGCATCCCTATGGCTAATTTGAGCAGCTTAATGGGGTGCCCTCACTGCCAGAGCTCAGTTTGGGGTGGATCTGCAGGAACACCCACCCTGGGAGCGCAAACCCCTTGTCCTGGGGTGCAGCAGTGGTGGTACCTGACTGCCCTGCACTCCAAAATGCTTTGTCCCATGATGCTGCCCTTTATAAGGATTATGGTCCCCAGGAGGGTCACCCTGGGTCTGCCAGGCTGGGGGTCCCCCCATTGTCCTCAGTACCCAGGACATGAGGCAAAGCAAAGCCTTGCTGACCATCTCCAGAGGGATGAGGGGACAGCAGGGTTTAACCTCTGTTTCATCCCAAGCTGGGAATCACTGAATTTTCCCCCACTGCATTCCTAGTTTTCCAGCTGTGAAACTCTGGTGCCAAGAGCAGCTGAATCCAGAGACTTGCAGGGATGGCTCCTTCCTCTCCCCTTTCTCTCCAGAGCTGGGAAAAGCTCACCAAACTCATGGCCAAGGTGATGGGGTGCCGTGGCAGATCCTGAGGGCTGGCAGCCTGCTGGACTTCCTGCATCCATCAGGCATGGGAAGGGACTAGGGAGACAGAGCCAGCCGTGCTGTCAGAGCCATGGACGTCAGACGGGGCGATGCTTTCAGCGTACTCAGCACTGCAGCTGGGGACGGGATGTAGGGACATCAGGAGAGGGCAGCTTTTGGGCTCCAGCCCATCCTGTCACGTGCAAGAGAGCCATACTGATGTGGATCCAAATGTCAGATTCCCGTTTAACACCCTCCAAAGTAAGGGAGTGAGTAAAACCATCGACATCCTGGGGAAGCTGAGTCAGTCATTTCCTCTAGCTGCCCCCTGGTATTTTTAACGGTGCCCTTAGCTGGTGCTTGGGCACTGCCGGTTATTTCTGTGCCCCACAGTGGTGCACATTGGTGGTGATCCACCCAGGATGAGGCCCTTTCCCCTGGCTCAGGATCTCCAGTGGGATGGAGCACGCAGAGCCCCCCCAGGATGCTCATGGTGTGTGTTAAGGGGTTGGAGTGGACCTTAGAGATCATCTAGTCCCAACCCCCTGCCATGGGCAGGGACACCTCCCACCAGACCTGGTTGCTCAAGGCTTTGAACACTGCCAGGGTTGGGGCTGCCACAGCCCCCCTGGGCAACCTGTGCCAGTGTCTCACCACCCTCACAGGGAAAAACTTCCTAATATCTAATTTAAATTTTCCTCTTTCAATTTCTCCTCATTACTCCTTGTCTTATCACTGCAACTCTTGGTTACAAGAGTCCTTCCCCAGCTTTCCTGGAGCCCCTTCAGATCCTGGAAGATTGCTAGTAGGTCTCTACACAACCTTCTGTTCTCCGGGCTGAACAGCCCCAACTCTCTCCGCCTGTCCTCGTAGGGAAGGTGCTTCAGTCCTCTGATCAGCTTCATGGCCTCCTCTGGACTTGCTCCAACAGTTCCATGTCCTTCTTGTGTTGGGGACAACACAGAGCTGTGTGCAATATATCCCATACTGGTTCTCCCTCTGCTGCCTTTCCCTGGGAAAGCTGCCTGCAGAGTTGGGATTTGCTGCCTCAGTCCTGTCCCTGAGGGGTGAACCTCAGTGTGAATCCTCTTTTATCCCTTTCCAGGCTGGGAATTCACAGGAAATCCGTCAGGAGGGTTTCTAGCTCACCTTCCATGGACTTGTATCAGGGGATGGAGCAGGTGAAGCAGATCCATGGAGGAGAGCCTGGGATGTGCCCTGAGCTGAGGAGCAGAGGAAGGTGCTAGGGGTAGGGATATCTTTGCTAATCCCGTCCCTCCTTTCCTTCCAGGTGCCGGCACCTGCCCAGGCAGAGGTGGCAGTCATGGCTGAGGGCAAAGAGCTCATCCTGGTGCTGAAGAGGAACCAGTAAGTGTTGGGGTTGGGGAAGGGACACTGGGTATCCCTGGCATGGTCCCACCTGGACTGGCAGTATCCTGGTCACCTTGTCCTGGCTGTGCTGCCCACAGGGGAAGGAACAGCCTGCTATGGCTTCCCTTTGGGGCTGAAATGCTTCTTTTTCAGCTTTCTGCAGCCATATTGTGCAAGAAAGAGCCTTGGCTTGATGCCACAGTGCAGGACCCATCACAGTTGAAGGTGGTGTGGGGTGCTTGGGGGCTGGAGATGTTCCAGGCAGAGGAACAGTGGGACCAGGGGCCCTTGGGCTGCCACCCCACTGGTAGGACTGATTCTGTGAGGGCTTTGGAGGCATCTCATGGCTGCTGACAGTGATTTGGAAACCTCTGCTCCTTGGATGGGCTGGGCTTGGGGTTGGCAACTTGGCACCATCCGGGGTGACCTTGCCATGTCACCTTAGTCACCTCTTTCCATGCTCCTTCTCTGGTTCAGCTTGGATACAGGTGCCAGCAGCATCTGTTCCCTGTGCCACTCACCCAGCCTGGCCTCCCCTGGCACACAGAGAGCACTTGTCTCCATCTCCTGCCCTGCTCTCCTTTACCCTCTCCCTGAGACTTTGTGTGTTCCTTGGAGGGTTCCTGTCCCTGTGATGGAACAGGACAAAGAGTTGACCTCTGCAAGACGAGCTTCTGCTTCCACTTCTGCTTCTTGGCAGCAGCTGTGGGTTCTGTGGTTCATCCTGGCAGAAGCCTCTTCCTGTTGTTGTTTGGGTGCAAAACCAGTCACCACAGTGCCTCCCAACCCCCACAGTGACCTGCAGAGGAGCTTTTGGTGTGCAGGAACAAGATTTTGGGGGCTCTCGTGCACATTTGTAGGTTGTGGGCAATGGGGGATTGGTAGCGAGGGTTGAAAGCTCATGTGCAAAACTTAGCCTAGTGTCTCACTGGTGCCCCAGGCCTGGTGATGTTTCTGTGTCCTCTCATGACCCTAATTCTGGCTCAGTGCCACTTTGCCATGCTGAAGTGTGGCCATGAGGGGTGAAGAGCATCCCTGGAGGCTGAGAGTGTGGGGCATTGCATGATGCTGAGGTCTGGATGAGGGCACAGGGAAACAGGTGAGGGGGTTGGTGGCAGCAGAGGGGAGCTGAGCACCCAGGGCAGTCCATGGCACCCAGGATCATCTGTCCTGCCCCTTTGTCCCCCAGCTGGTCAGGCCCTTGTCTTGCCTGGCTGCTCACTTGTACTATTCCAGGAACCAGGCTGAGCTCCTGTCTCCTTTCTCCGCTGTAACTGGAGTTACTGGTGCCAGGCCCCCACTCATAGGCAGGCTAAGAAGCCACGAACATGCCCACAGTGACATTTTTGGGGCCAAATTGGTTGCAAAATAGAAAGCAAGAGGCGGGAGGGCTATTCTGGGACCTGCTGCTGGTTAACTTGTTGCTGCTGCAAAACAAAACCTCTGGGACAGGGCCAAACCACAACAATCGAGGGCTGAACTGACAGCAGGGGCAAGCCCAGCCCTCTTTGTCCTTCTCTGGGTGCCTGAGCCCCCTGCATGGACACTGCCCTTCCTGTGGGGACCTACCATCTCCCTGGTGGCTGCAGACTCACAGTGGGATGCCTATCATCCTGGCATCTGGGCAACATCATGCAGATTTGAGCAGTGTGAGAGACCCTCATTTCTCTCTTCTCTCTTCTCTTCTCTTCTCTTCTCTTCTCTTCTCTTCTCTTCTCTTCTCTTCTCTTCTCTTCTCTTCTCTTCTCTTCTCTTCTCTTCTCTTCTCTTCTCTTCTCTTCTCTTCTCTTCTCTTCTCTTCTCTTCTCTTCTCTTCTCTTCTCTTCTCTTTCTTCGCTTCTCTTCTCTTCTCTTCTCTTCTCTTCTCTTCTCTTCTCTTCTCTTCTCTTCTCTTCTCTTCTCTTCTCTTCTCTTTCTACCACCCATGGGATCATTCCAGCCTAAATTCCCCCTCTCTGCACCCTGGCACCCCCAGCCCCACGTGCTCTCCCGGCTGTGAGCTCAGCTCTGGCTCTTCCCCGTGGCAGGAAGCCATTTGTCATTGTGGGATGGGATGGGCTAGGGATGTGTCACGCCTGGACTAGCCTCGAGGGGATGTGGCCAGCAGCTGGGGGGAAGCTGAGGCATGCAAGGTGAAAGCAGGGGAGGGTGCAGCTTCCTAAAAGCAGCCTGAGTTTTCTCACAACCATCCCAGGGTTTTTGGGGACACCCCCACACTGTTGCTGGTGAGTTGCATCAGAAGCATCACCCGTGCTGTGCCGTGAGTGAGGCAAAGTGATGTGCCTGGGGCTGGAGAGG